CGGGCACCGAGGACTGCGTGACGGTGCGGGAGGAGGTGGTTGCCCACCGGAGCCGGCCTCACCTCTACCTGCAGCGCATCCGCATCGCCAACCCCACCGAGCGGGTGGCCACCTTCGAGGCCTCGGTTCCGCGTTTTGTGCCCTCGCAGGGCGGGCGCTTCACCACCAGCCTGGAGAAGGTGGAGGAGCGGCAGTTCCTGCTCTCCTCCGGGCGCCTGCTGCTGGCCGGGAGCCCCCAGGTGGTGCTGGTGGTGGTGGCTACCAAGAAGCTGGTGAGCCGGGTGCAGGTCGCACCCAAATCGCACTTTGACGAAACGGTGCTCTCCGTGGTGTACACCTCAGAGCCCATCGAGGTCTCCAGGCTGGAGGAGACCTTCAGCAAGCTGAGGGAGGCAGTCAAGAAGGAGATGCTGGAGGTGATGCAGATGGGGGTGGAAGATCTTTTCCAGGAGCACCAACAGATCTGGTCTGACCTCTTCATTTCAGGTAAGGAAAGTGATGCTCAACTTCCAAAGGGGGCAGCTGGAAGCTCAGTGACCTGGTTGCTGTCAGGTCTTCAGAGGCTCCATGCTTCCTGGTTTCTCTCAGAGCCAGAAGGTGTGTTGTGGGATTAATAAAACCATGCCTGTTTTGGAAGCCAGACAGCTTTACAAAAGTGGAGTGTTCCTTGCTGTGTAAAGGAAATTATTGAAGAACATTTCCAACCAAAACTCTGGCTGTGCTGGCTTTTGTATCTTCAGGAACTTCACTGTTTTGCCCAGCATGTCAGCTCTAAGTTGGAATAGAGTTGTCCTCTAGGGACAGTACAAAGGACAGTACAAAAGACAGTTAAGGACTGCCCTACAAAGATGCTTCTTAAATAGGATTTTCATGGCCTTGCATTTTGCCCTACAAAGATGCTTCTTCTTAAATAGGATTTTCATGGCCTTGCATTAAAGAGTAGCTGCCCAAGTAATGTAGAACTTGCTGTTTTATAGCCAGTAAAGAGACAGATGTTCCTGTGACAGATCCCTCTTGTGGAGTCAGCTCCATAAGGAGTTTGTGTATCAAACTAGCTTTGCCTTTAGTGGGAGCTTGGCTTTCAGACTTCAAGCAGCAGTGAGAGCATCTAAGAAAATTTAAGGAAACATTTCACTTCAGTGTTCCATAGGCAAAAGTTTCTTAGATGTAGAAAACACCTGTGTGTTGAACAACAATGTGTACATTTGATCTTCTTTTTCTCCTAATGTCATATTCATGTGTGATCCTCTTGACTCGTGGTTGTTTTCCTTCCTTACAGGGGTGGAAATGAGAAAGATCACAGATGCCCATACACCATCCAGTGAGACAGTTAACATGACTCTCTACTACGTGCTGTCAAGCATGCCAGCTCCTCTGCTGGATCCACTCATCACGGGGGAGGACAGAGAAAAAATGGAAGCCAGCTTGAACTATGCTGACCACTGCTTCAGTGGCCATGCCACCATGCATGCAGAGAACCTGTGGCCACCAAAGCTGACCAGTGTTGCCCAGATCTTGCAACTTTCAGACCTGTGGAAGCTAACTCTCCAGAAGAGGGGCTGCAAGGGCCTGGTGGCAGCTGGAGTGCACGGACTGATGCAGGGGATGGTGCTTAGCTTCGGGGGGCTGCAGTTCACAGAAAACCATCTTCAGTTTCAGGCTGACCCTGATGTACTCCATAACAGCTATTCCTTACGTGGGATCCATTACCGTAAAGACTTGATTAATCTAGCTGTTCTGCTGGATGCTGAAGGAAAGCCCTTCTTGCATGTGTCTGTGAAATTCCAGGACAAGCCCGTCAGACTCTACGCATGCGAGGCCGGCTGCATGAACGAGCCGGTGGAGCTGACCTCGGAGGCACGGGGACACACCTTCCCTGTCATGGTGACTCAGCCCATCACTCCACTCCTTTACATCTCCACAGATTTGATCCACTTGCAAGACCTGAGACACACACTTCATCTGAAAGCTATTCTGGCTCATGAGGAACACATGGCCAAGCAATACCCAGGCTTACCCTTCCTGTTCTGGTTCAGTGTGGCATCCTTAATCACTTTGTTTCACTTGTTTCTGTTCAAACTCATCTACAATGAATATTGTGGGCCAGGAGCCAAGCCACTCTTCAGGAGTAAGGTATAAGGGCTGCTGCTTCTGGCTGCTGTCCACTGAGTGTTGTCAGCCTGGTTTTCTGTCAGCTGTGCCTAGGGAAGCTCTGTCTTGGACTGTGAGGGTTTTGTCACTCTTGCAACACAAAATATCTGTGACCTCTTGCAAGAAGAATAATTAGGGCAGGGATTGGAGCACAAGGGCTCAAAAACAAAAGGTAAATCCATCATCTGTCCTCTTGAAACATTTGGAAGGCTGCAGATCAAGGTAGACCCAGCTTTTCTGTCTCTTTTCCACATGTTGGTTTTAAGCCAACAGTTGCAGCTGTGTCACAAGATGATGTCTTGTTCTGCAGTACCAGAAAGCTTGTGAGAGCTGCTGTACTTGTCTTCACTGCTGTGTGGGAGACATGCACACTTGTCTGCCTGGTTTAGTGTGTGACATGTAGAAGAACACACAAATGCAAGCTCGTATTCTCAGGGCAAGGTGCAGACTTGCTGGGACTACTGGTAAATGTTCATAGATTTATAGACATCATGCAGACCTCCCTCAAACCACCATCATTTTGGGAAAGTGCTGAGCTCATGTATCTCCCACTCAGACAAAACACACAGCTGTGATAGGAAAAGTACTAAGTGCTTTTTACTGTAACTTTGAGGGTCTGACTTCAAGCTTTACTGCGTCTCACTTTGTTGTAAAGGATTTTAAATTACTGTTTTGAGTTGCCTTAGAAAACTTAGTTGCTAATAAAAACTGAGCACAGAACAGACAATAGATAGTGATTTCTGCTCTTAGTACTGGTACTTTCTGGTTGCATATTGATACAGAGCGGAAATGAAAGACAAGACTGGATTTGATGTGTGAGCTAGACATATTGTTCAGATGCTTTGCCTCCTTCGGGTTGAACAGAGTTAAATGTAGCTTGTGTTAAAAAATAAGGAAATAAAAACATAGTTAAATAGAGCTATCAGAGGAAAAGGTTTAGTTTTAGATTGCTCTGTTTTCCCAAGTTATAAAAGCAAATTCATTTTTGGATATCTAAGGCTGGACAGAACTTGGCAGTCGGTACTTAAGGGGTGTTTGAAGTGAGCTGGCAGTTTTCCACCAGCTCACTGGCTCTGTAATGTTGAGCACTGGAGATCAGGCCTGATCCCAGGCAGGTCTGAGTATCTGTCATTTGTTCAAAGAATGAGAGTAGAAGGTGCTTGTGGCTAGAGAACTTAACCTAGGAAGAGGCAGGATAGGTAGGTAGGTATATCAAGGATAACTGCAATTACAAGCCTGTGATCAAAACCTTAGTGCTCAAGGAGGAAGTGGTTTCAGTTACTGTCTATGCAGCTGCACCCTGACATGCATCCTGAAACCTGTCCTTGAAATGATACAGTGTCATCCCTCTGTCACTGCTGTCTATCTGGTTGCCTTTGTCATCCACAAGACTTGCCTTCTGCCTTCTCCAGAACGACTTGTTGACCATTACTCCAGGTAACTGTCCCTGACACGCTGCGCTGAATTGCCATGAAGCTTCACGGCTACCCTCCGGGGCTGAGCTCCCAGCTCTTGGCACAGCAAACAGCCTCACAGTGCTCAGCAAGCAGGGCTGTTGCCTTGTCTTAACTGGACTATTTAACATGAAGATGATGCAGAACTTGATTCCAGAAACAGGGATCAAGTGGAAGCCAGCTGAAGCTCAAAAGCTCTGGAGCAGCAAATAAGATGAATGGCGTTGGAGCAACACCCTGTGTCATGAATGGAATGGGAACATCCCAGTGTCCAAGTGAGCTTAGTCCTGCTTTCAGCCTCCATTTGCACAAGACATCTGACAGTTTTGCAGCTGAGAACAAGGACCTTTTGAAAGCAACAATCCTTTTGTGCCTTGTTAAGAGAGGAATCTGAGACTTGGAAGGTGTGGTTATTCAGGAGTTTATCCCAGAAGCTTGTATAACAGGTGTTTCTTTTTCCTTGTAAGCTGTTCAGTTCTCTAAGAGTAATCCATTTGGTGAAAATACTTGAAGATATACTAAGTAGTTTGATATTTTGATTTGTTTTTTAATTTTACAGGAAAATAAAGAATGGTGATTCCCTTCAGAGAGTTCAGTTAACTAGAAAACTTTAGTGTAACTCCCTTTCTGGTACATATTTTTAATTTATTGCTTGGGGGGAGGATGTTAATAATTTTGCCTCCAATAACAAGTCAGTCAAGTGAACTGTAGCTTTCTAAGTGCTGGTAACAGGTTTTTCAGCCTTTATGATTGTAGAGTGCAAAACCAACCTAATGGAATTGTTTTCTGGATTTACACTTGGAAATGCTGATCTGCAGGTTTCTTATTCTAAGTATATTGAGACTTTGTGCATTGATTTGTTTTGGCTATGGGGGGAGACATCCCACTTTCTAGTGATTTAAAGGTCATTTGGTTTTAAAATACCAAAGCTGTTGTTTCTAAATAAATATCTTTCAGTCTAAACTGATCACTAAAGTGTGGTTGGTTTTGTTTGGTTCTCTTCTCCCCTTGCTCCCCACCCAGTGAAAACAAGCAGAGCCTTATGTTACATCTGGGACCAGTGTTGACTACAAAAGTACTTGGATTAAAAGGAAATACTGTGTGGAAAATAATACATAAATGGAGCTGAGCTGGGAACAGACAATTTGGAAGGCACAAGAAGAGGCAGAAGCACACAGTGTGGTGCTACTCTCCATTTTCCCTGGCTCTGTGTAAGCTTGTTCTACCTTGAGCCATGCAGGCCAAGCTTTAGTTTTAAGAACACAGAAGCAACCCCAGGGAACAATCAGGTAGCAGAATTAATGGCCATCCAGCAAGGAATGAATTGGGCACGTTTGGTGCTCCCAATGAAAAGCTAGGGCAGGATTTAACTTTGAATTTTTAAATAGGTTACTATCTAGTTTCACATGAAAAATCTCCCTCAGAAAAGTAGCTTTCAGTGTCTGCTACTTATCTGCAGATTATTCCTTTTACTAATTAGTCCAGAACAGTTATTACCCTACAAGGGAACAGACTAACACAGGGAGGCAATCAAGTACATTATAAATTGTAGCTATGTACATTGTGTACTGAAAGAGATACCAGCTATTGTGCTTTAACAGAACATACCAGAAGTCCTTGCTCTGTCTTACTGAAGTTCCATTTCCATGAGCTGCTTTGTTTCTGTGAAATATCTGGCATGAAGATGATGAGAGCTTCCACGGTGCTGCTCCCAAGCCACCATGGTATCAGCTGGGGGCTGAGCCTTTTGATGTTCACTTGCAGAGCTGCCAAGAGTATGATGCCCACTGAATCCAAGAAAGATACTTCAGCCTATTAGGCTGGGCCTGGAAAAGACAAAGGAGCAATTGTTACATAAAGCAGGAGTGGAAGCAAAAAAAACCCACAACAACAAAAAAATTCAGACATTAAGAAGAGAGCCAACTTACCAATAAAAAAAAAAAGTTAGCATCTCAGTTCTGTACTTAGTTAACCCTGATTTATGCTTTTGCCAGATAATAAATACTAGATGTCAGAACAGAGTTTGGTTGATTCAATTTGAAATTCAGAACACAGCTTTCTCAAGTGCTGTTGCTTGGGTAGGATAATACATTCTTCAGCAGCAAACAAAACAGCAAAGCGTGACATACTTCTGCCTTCCACATGTGTGCTCCAGACATCTTTTATCCACATCAGTACCTACTGCTGAATGGAACCTATAAAAATCAGGGATTTTGCTGCTTGTTAATACATTAAACAGATCTATGTCAGCTTTTTTGAAACCTCCAGTTTGTATGCACAGTGCAACTCAAGTTACAAAACTGGCACTATGGTATTTGTTTCCATTCTAGTAAGTTTGCTGCCTGACTCACAGGGTAGAGATGTTTGTTTTTTGAATAACCAGTAACAGTTTTTAAGTGAAGGGTAGGTTGATGGAAACGTGACAGGGGATGGAAAATTCCCATAGTAGAAGGAAAAATGGAAACAAGAAACACAAGTGTTGATATCAAGTCATTGATCTCAAATGTTCAGAACTGGGACACTTTTGGCAGCAGTTTCATAGTGGTCTAAATGCCTGGTTTGTCCTATTAGTGAAAATGGTTTACTTTTTTCACTGGCAAGCTCACACTGCCTGGTGCCACAGGTCAGCATGCTGATGTGGGGTGTAAAAATACTCATTTGTAATGCTACAGGAACTCTGTTTTCTTCCAGGGATGTGCTATTGACCTAACAATTAAAATAAAGCAAGAAAGCAAGGAAAGCAAGCAAGCAAGTAAGCAAGCAAGAAAAAGAAAAGAAAGGAAGAAAGTCTGGCTCACTGTGCTGCCCCAGTGTTCCTCCATCATCACAGAAAACATCATCATTTGAGTTGCTTGAAACATCTTCAACTTCAAAGAGATTCCAGTTTTATTGAAGAAGTATGGCATGATGAAAGACTTAACTGCAGCTTGAGCTAGAAAATAAGATACATGTTTTCAGCTGGTACAAAGTGGTATTTGCCATTCAGTCACTAAACAAACCAGAGCAAAGTAAGATTTCAAGCAACCACAGAATGATACAATAATTAAGGTTGAAAGGAGGCCTCCAGAGTTTGTCTAATCCAACACGTCTGAATCTATCACTCTGAATAAATCAAACTGTTACTGCTGACATATCACTGAGTATTAGAATAATTTAACATTTTCCTTCTGAAAAAACACCTTTGTTATGAACTTGCAAGGCAATGGGAAACCAAACAGCTGCAACTCAGCTGGAATTTCTTTTAGCCAAGTTATTTATATAGCCTAGATCCAAGGTCCATCTAAAATGGAGGGGTTTTAGGCACTTGTGCAGATAAAAAATATCCCACAATTACACAAGTTTTCCACTGGTATCAGAATAGCACTGCATTTTCAATCATGTGTCCCAGAGATAAACACATGAAAAATCTCCCTCAGAAAAGTAGCTTTCAGTGTCTGCTACTTATCTGCAGATTATTCCTTTTACTAATTAGTCCAGAACAGTTATTACCCTACAAGGGAACAGACTAACACAGGGAGGCAATCAAGTACATTA